TTTTTTTAAAAAAAAACTTATCTAATTAATGAAGAAACTCTTCTTTATATATTCTTTTCAATAATAGATTACCTTCAGAACAAGGTAACATCGGCGATCACGAAGTTAGTCCCACTGAAAATAATCTACAAGAAACGATACCAAGTCGCGACAAAGCAAAAAAACTAAGAGGTGCGAAAATGAACATGTGAGATTACGATATATGTTCTCAAAACTTTGATTCTACAGCTCACCAATCAAGGCCATTTCAACATAACGAAACGAACATCGTCTTCCACAGCGCTAGTCGACATCGAAACGTAAGAGAAGAGTCTTATATCGCTATATCGTTATCTTATATCCTTGCGTGTCTTATATCGCTTTGCCCTCGTTGTCTTTACTCGACGGATTAAATCAGATTTCTAATGCATCGCTGTATCGTCTTGCCGATATATGCGTTAAATCGATATGTCTCGATACATCGATTTATAGCCCAGTCCTAAACAGGACAATTCGTTCGATATTTTATGCTCATGAAAAATATGTACAAAAAGTTTCTTTTGAGTTGAGACATGTAGAAGTGACAGAATTTATCTATTTCATATAGTTCACAATTGAAAAGATTTTTTAAACTCTTTTTCGATCTTGCACTTAGTAAGTTGAAATTCAACCCGCATTTTCCTCCACAAAGCAAAAACAGTTTCCCCTATTATGAGATAAAGTAAACATGAATGAGGATGAAATATTTTCCTAAATTTGCCCACCTGCAAAACTGCCTTAGGATATAAAAACAAAGTAGTGATAAAATTACTGTGATATCATATTTTAGGATATTAAGCATTTGTAGATAAGGCTGCTTCAAAGTTTAAACTTAATAATAATAATAAAAACTTTTGTCTATCTTAAACCTCAAAACCTTTTGATTGGATACACGTATTTAAAATTGTATGTATTTTACACTTCTTTATATAACGCATATATAAACATTTTATATGAATAATATTTACTACATCTCTATAGATGGAAAAACCACAAGAATTTATTTATTTGGACAAATATATACCAACTTAATTAAAATTAATATTCCTTCAATGTTTCTTTCGAATCATTGAAAGAATATTAATTTTGTACGCTTCTGATTTATTCCTGTTTTAATTTCGATGCAAAGCATTTTTATCGTTTTTTAAGAATAAAATATTTATAAAAATATTTAAATTAGAAAAATATCAATAATTGCTGTTCTTAAAAAAAAAGAAAAAAAAAAGACTTGTTATTGAAAGAAAAAAAAAAAAACAATAAAAGAATTGTAGCGGAAGGGACAGTCTGGCCAAT